GTGCAAGAAAAAATAAACGCCATTACTTATGGGCCAACTTAATAGTTAGAATTAATATGTCTACCCCTTCAATTCTTTTGCGTTTTGATTCACTCCTCCCCCGTTTTATGTCCATGCTGGTCCTGGATTAGAGTGAGGGGACGGGGCTCTTAAGTCTTACTTAAAATAGAGGCAGCATTAAAGATTGTGAAGCCTGCGATCGTGACATTTGAAATAACTGGTGTAGTTCCTCAGTCATCACTCATGTGCGTTCAGCATGGTTTTCTGCCAAAATTCGGGTTCTTTTATGGGTTGGCGTCAAAACTTCAGTCAGAGTGGTATAGAAAGGTGAACGTGTTAAGCAGTTGAAATGTAGATTGGTGGAATGGGGATTTCAGAGCCGGTGGACGTGAATCGCTGAGTTTCACGGTCGTACATCCCCGAATGTCAGGAATAAATACACTCCATTCTGCTACGCTGAAGGGCTCACCGGAGGGGGGGGGGGGTAGGGGGTAGGAGGAGCGAAGTCGTATCTCTTTTGTGGAGTTCGGTGATGTTCCTGCTTTACTGTGTCCAGTTTCCATCGGATGTTCATTCTCTCTGTCCCAGTGACGGTATACTGGGAGAGGAGGGTGGGTCGATAGGGTAAGTTTTCCTCAGCGATCCGATGATTAGTGGATTTCCCGAAACACAGCAAAGTACGAAAGCAGCTTGACAGTGCGTTCAAGCTTTGTTGCAGCTTTTTGAGCGACTAGAAAAATATGGGTATCGATCCAGCCTTGTGACTGCCGTCCAGCGTTTTTAGCGATTATCGATAGCTATACTTTCTTAGTGGCTCAGTAGGTGCTCCGAACGCTAGAGGATGCTGGAAACGCTGGATCGATACCTACACATGGTTTGTCGCTCAAAACGCTTCCGCGAAGTATGAACTCACTTGGAAGTCGAGTTACTACTGGCAACCAAACATCTCTGCTTCAGGTAAACAGTGTGTGTCCACTGGCCTGCAAGTGGAACTACCATTTGGGTATTATGGACGGGTTGCTCCTCGTTCCGGTCTAGCAGCCAAGAATTTCATCGATGTCGGTGCAGGTGTAGTGGACAGCGACTACCGTGGTGAACTGAAAGTTTTGCTGTTCAATTTTGGACCATCTGACTTTGAGGTATCCTCTTATCAAGAAAGTTCGCCAACTTACCATTGAACTTTGAATGGAGACCTGGGTAGATCGATAGAGTCTATAAGGTTATTTACAAATAGATAGCAAAACTGCAACCTGCATTTCACAAGCAACTTATGAGCAGGTAAAGTTTGTAATGGTGCAGTAGGGTGGAGGCTTGGTGGTGAGCTGTGAAGCATAAGCGAGGAATCGCATACGTCGAATCGAGTCGTCGAACGTCGAACCTTACCACTGAACCACCACGACTCGATTCGACGTATGCGATTCCTCGCTTATGCTTCACAGCTCACCACCAAGCCTCCACCCTACTGCACCATTACAAACTTTACCTGCTCATAAGTTGCTTGTGAAATGCAGGTTGCAGTTTTGCTATCTATATTTGTAAATAACCTTATAGACTATCGATCTACCCAGGTCTCCATTCAAAGTTCCATGGTAAGTTGGCGGACTTCCCTGGTTAGTGCATGTCACTTAAACTTCTTATTCAATTTCTTATTCAGGTCAAAAAAGGCGACAGAATAGCTCAGATCGTCTGCGAACGTATTGCGCACTGCAAATACGAGGAATGTACCACATTAACTGACACCGTTCGTGGAGAAGGTGGATTCGGATCGACTGGGAAGTAATGACCATTTCACCGTCTTTGGTACTTTTGCACCGGTTGAATTTCCCGTTGTTTTTCGTACGGTTTTGATCTCCTCCTCGTCATTGCATGTGTTGAATGAGGTCCGCTTGCTTTACTCGCTTAGAAGGTCATGTTCGATATCTTGTGGATGAATAGAACTTGTATTTGTGCAGTGATGAGGTACTCTTTTGGGTTTTTGATAGCATACCTCGAATTGTCAAGTTAATTAGTAAAATTCTATAAATAAGTTGGATCGGTTTTGTGAGTACAACATGGTTTTCAGTCTCCAATTAGCTACAGGCACGCACCGCGGTGTGATATTTTTCTGCACAATTTTTACGACCCCCCACTACCAAAATCACGCACCCCTTTGGGCTTCGTTACTACCCCCCCTGTCCAGCCCTCTGTTCCTTGTTTCTCTCCTGCAATATCCGAACTACTCCCGATGCGGCGGGGGGGGGTGGCGTCAGATTGACACTATCGCATCTTTCCCAAAGCGGCATGCACACCCAGTGCGACCATGAACTCACATCATCACCCGCCTCCACAAAATGACCGAGACGAACCCCCCCCCCCCTTTTACAGCGTCCGTGAAACAAGAGAAATCAACTATCAAAAAAATTTTCTCTGACCAAATACGACCCCCCTCCCTCGCGGTCAAATACGACCCCCCTTGTGATGATCACAACGATGGCGTGCCCCGAATAGCACATCCCGCGACCAATAATGTTCAACTATGCTGCTCAAATACCTAGGACAGGGTGGTAAGTAACGCAAAAGAGAAGAGGAAAGCAAAAAGAACCTACCCGAAGCCTCATATAAAACCCTATGCGATTCGCTTCCGCTATTCTTGCCTCTGTTTTTCGCAACTAGCCTGCATATCGGCTGGCCCCCCGCGAGTCTCTCAGGCCATAGCGCGTTGAGTGATGCTGGATGGATGTCGAATGCATGTCGCATCCCGAAAAGTGATTGATCAACGCAAAAGGTCTGTCCTTCTATTCGCAATTACTCCATTACTTTTTATCAATACCATTTTTAATTACAATATCTTTCAGTTTAGTGTTTTTTAACAACCACTATTTTCTCAAGCGTTCAATTCCCACGGTATTTCCACGTCATCATCTTTTTGTCACACCAGTTATGTGCGAACTGCACTTTTTAGATTTATAAACTGTTTTTCCTTCCTTTTTTTTGCTAATTGCGATTAGACAATTAATTAGAAATCTGAGACTCTAGATGTGTAAAAACAAAATAGTCTACCGGAGCTACCCCGCTTGGGTAATCAGACTGTTCCTACTTGGGTGAGGTGCCTTCTTTTGGCGGTTTGTTCGTCCTGATCGTGACTGGCCTTATTCGGACTTCTTAGTCATACCTTTCGGCTTCTTTGCTTTTCTCGGCACTCTTGAGTTGTTACTACTGCAAAAACTCAAAAAAAAGCCTGCGTTGAAGTTTTGTCGGCAAATTGGTGTCCCGATCACGAACATGACATTGGCTTTTGGCGATGGCGTCACCACCTTTCACGGGATGTGGTATATATACTCAAAATCCCGGAGATCGGGTAGGCGTGGCTGCGTACTAAACTTCAAAGTGGCGGCGGCCCAGGTTTTCGTGAGATATTTTCATTTTTGTAACAG